AAATAACCCGGTGTTCTTTTAACCCCGCGCGCACATGTACACAACAACCCATGAACTCGCTTGAGGAGACTGTGAACACCCGCTTTTCTGTAGATCTCTGAGCACCTGATCCCGTTCGATGACGACGAAGGTGTCATCCACATACCATACCCAGAATTTCGGTCTGTGGTGTTGGAAGACCAGTGCCTCCTGCCGTTGTTGAACCGCCTCGGCTATGAGTCCCGAAATCGGTGAACCCATTGGTGTCTTCTTCACCTGCTCGTAGATTGTTCCGTTCAGGGAATCGGAACAATGCAAAGGATAACGGCATAGTTATGTCCGAGACAACTCGTTCTCCGAGTTTCAGTAGTAAAGGGGAGCAGACAATTGGACGAAAGGATGTGAGACCAGAAGTAGAGGGTTTTTCGGGATCGGACGATGGAAGCTTGTAGGATTTTTGAAACTCAGAATATTAAAACAAATTCTTCCAGTGACCAAAACGTCTTCTGCTTTACTCCTATTGTGTTTTGGTTCACCATGCGTTAGTCCCTCACAATAGTATACAAAATAAAATCAATCCTTCTCTTTTGTTTAACTGCGAAACTTGGTGTGTCCCGATTACTATGACAGGAAAATGCTCCGCATCGCGTGCTGATGTTTGCTTAGGAGGGGTTTTTATGGCCTCACGTACCTATCCTATTGTGGTGTGTTGTAAATGTTGCTCAAGCCAAGATGCCACCGTCTAATTACGCCTTATGTGAGTCCCCAAAGCAGAACATAAGAAGAAGATCGCAAAAGTGACCGTCTTTTAGCGTACTTAGTACAACATATTTAAGGCTAATAAACGCGTGTACAGCCATGTCTATCGGACCAATAAAAATCCTAGCCAGGCCGCAGCTTTAAATTTAAAAATTATTGCTTGATACCAGTTTGCGTGCGCCGCCGCGTGTAGGCTGATCGATAGCCTGGCCTGAGGACGATTCGCTGCGTGCCTGCTGGCTGTCTGCTCGTGTGTCTCTTACGGCGGCTCCTAAAAATGTGCACGGATTAATTTCTAGGATAGAGAATGCAAAGTTGCTTCAATACTATTCGAGTTGCATTCAATAGAAAATTACCCATATTTCGCTAGAAGCTTAATACTTCTCCGGCTCAACATATTCTATAAACTCCACGTTTATTCGTTTAGACATATTTTTAATAAATTAAGCACCTCTGGTTTGGACCAACCTCTTCTAGTTAAAAACGTCTGCATGGACACAACAGTAGATATGGCAGTTCGACCTTTGTTGCCGCCTATATCCGCCGTGTGCCCCAAAACGTGATGGGTACAAGGACCGCCGCTAGGGCGTGATTTAGTTTAAATTGATACGGAGCTTTCGCAGTATCTATCGCACGCTCTACTCTTCACCCACGGTGTCATGACCAAGTCAAGAAAAACGAAGAGTGAATAGGATACAAGTGTGGATGGCTGATGCGGCGTGGGCTTGCGCCATGGCTTGTGACCACACGGTCTCCATGTACGGCATTTTCTGTGTGGGGCGTGGGTCGTGCCCTGGGCTGTCTCACCTGTTCTTCGCCTGCAAAGTCTTGCAGTTGCGCTTTATAATATATCCCACGAGCTCTTGTTCCACCCGCTTTAAATGCCGCCCTAGCTGTCCACCCCTTGCACAAAGTCGGGTCGCAGTCGCGGCAGTCATTAATCTACCCTCTCCAGAGCTGTAGGCCAATCACTGTGCACCTTTCCCAGATTGGCTACAGGTTACAAAATAAAAGCCCCTGGCCCTTGCTATCCCGCGTGCACGCAGATAGAGCAACTGGCGTGAGAAGACCGTTGGCAACACTTTTCGGCTGAATTCTTTATAAGCTCTTCTTCAGAGTAAAATCTGTCCGGCTTTATCGGTCTTCCTTGGGTTCTGATTTTGGGGAAGTTTGCGTTGTCCGTGTTAGGAGGGACCCAACGGCTAGCATGGAAGCAACAAGTAGCCACGTCCACAATAGGCTATCGATCGGCCTATGTGCGAGCTCACACATCATGCTAGAAAATCAATCAATAATT